TTCAGATACAAGGAGATATCACTAAAGTAATTAATTAAACAAAAGCATTATTAGATATTTTATCCAATTTAGTTAAATTTCATAGTGTTCTGATTCTACTGACTACTCAATTAATACAGACACAGATCATTCTGCATGTATATATTTCAGTATTGTTTATAAACTCTTTATAATACTAGTTAACACTGCTTTGTGTCTGTAGGCTGTAGCCATTGTGCAGCGTCAAAATGGTTTTATGTACTCTTTTGTACCTTTTAGTGCCAAATTTACATTCAGTAGAATCAAACAGCCTGGCACAATAAAAGTTTTTAGGTGTTGAAAATTTATGTTATGAATGTGCCTTATTTTTAAAATGTTGGTATATACTTGATTTTTGTCTTTCTCCCTCATTATTTTTTTGTTGTGTCATATTTCATGATTTACTTCAATTTAGGTTTTCAACAACTCAATCCTTATTGCTTTCTAGGAATTCACAGCAAAAGAGATAACATCTCATTTTGAGGGCTCATATGCTGATCTAGTTGTATGTGATGGAGCACCTGATGTGACTGGCCTACATGACTTAGATGAATATATTCAATCTCACCTTCTACTTGCAGTAAGCATTACATTTTATTACTGAAAAGATTGTAATTATGCATCAATTTTAGGCTCTAAATATTACGACACATGTATTGAGTACTGGTGGTACTTTTGTTGCTAAGGTACAGTAAATGATACATAATACTTGTATGATTCATGGTATTTATAGTAATTATATATTTTATGTAAAATAAGTATTAAAAAGTTATATACTATATAAATTAGTTTTGTACTTTGTCAAATTTTTTAATATCATTTTAGAATTTCTAAATTAGATCTACATAATGTTATTTATTGAATGAAAGTCACTCTAGTCCTTTCCCCAGCAAGAATTGCATTCATTTCCACAAATTGCTGGCCATAATTTTTTTGTAGTTTGCATGCAGCATATACTTCAACCTATTGTAGTCAACCAGGCTTGGGGCGAAGTACTTTAAAAAGTATTTAAGTACATTACAAGTACCTGTTAGATTTTAAAAATGAGTACGAGTACAAATCCCTCATTTTTACAATTGTATTCAGTATGAGTACGAGTACTCTATTGCAGTACTTAAGTACTACTTAAGCACATGACCACACCCAAATAATTAATAAGTTAGTTTTAAGATTAATAAATTAAATCAGATGGTTATTACATCTTATGAACTTTTCAAATCCAAACTGACCAGTGTCATAGTATGGGACCCACAGGAGGTAAATATATGTGGTTTACACTAGCTAGTATTTATTATATCAACACATTAGCATTGCAT